TGTGCGCCAATCAGCTAATAACTAGCGGTGGCCCATAGAAGTAGCGTGCCACGATTGGGCCACGTGTGATCATTACGTGGCCGTAGGCTTTGTGGCTGGGGACGAACCGGAGCAGCGGCAGACGAAGCAGCGGCAGCAGCGGGCCGAAGCGTCGGGCGCAGGCGATCCAGGTTCCGGCCAGGGAACGCGGCCGTCCACGCTGCTGCCGTCCAACCACCAGCTGGAGCGGCATTGCCGGCACGAGTACTGCATCTCGGGGCGCGGCCTGGCCTGCTGTTCTCTTCCTTGCCGAGGGCATCGCGGATCTCGGCGAGGCGTCTACACGGTCAGCCGTTCGGCACAGCGACGTAGGTGGCCTGGCTAATGGTCACGGTTGCGCCGAGCATCGCGTCTCGACGCAAGCTGTTCGCTGGACGGGCTGGCCATTCCCCGCATGGAGCATCGCGTCTCCGATGCGGGTTGACTGCTCAGTAGTCGCACCCATGCCAACAAGCGCCGGTGTCACCAGAGCGTCGCACATCGGCAAGAGACGAGCGAGACGTTCTGCCGGGCGAGACGCGGGTGTGTGCACGGACCACGGAGCCGTGCAAGCTCCAGGGTGGCCGAGGATCCAGGTGCCAGGAGAGTGGGACGAAGGCGATAACAAGAAATGGAAAAGAAGATGAGAAGAAGAAGGAACGTGCAAGAAAGAGCTGGAGGGTTGAGGCCACGAAGGCAGACGAAGCGGTGCGCCGCTCGAGAGGACGAGTTCCTGGCAGCGTTCCTGAGCCGGACGTGGGACCCGTACGTGTCGGCCAGGTCGAGCTCCGGTGTGTCTGTTCGAGGTCAAGTCCGTCGGCCTGTACAAGGTCCAAGGACGGGGCCTGCTGAACGGCTCCTGCCTGGGTGCAGTGGCCGGGAGAAGGTTCGTGGACAAGACCTACCGGGTGGGGTCCTCATGAGCCGTGGCCCGATTCTGGACCTCAGGAGTTGCGACCCTGACTGCTGGGTTGGCCGGGACGTCCGACTCAACGGCGCTGCACACGGTAGCGCATCCGTGTGCCGTCAGCCGTTCAAGCCGTGCCACCTTTGCCCTCGCGCACGTCGACGACCGCATCATGTCGGGACGACGGGGACCCAAACTGTGAAGCAGCGGTTTCTTCTTGCGAACCGAGAACTATATGCGCTGGACACGGAGTAAGCATAGCCGCGAGCTCTCCGCATAATAGAGGTCTAACTCTCGTACATGTTGCGTTATGCTTGGCGTGTAGGGTTGGACATATAGTTTTATTTTCACCTGCCATTTCGTTCTCTAGTGTACAATATAATGCTTCTTTTGTTCGCATCTCGTCCGCTATCAACAAACATAGTGACGAACGTCCTTAACCATCCCACCTGTTTTCCTGAAATAAGCATGTGCTTTCAGGTAACGTGCCTTCTGCGCCAGATGTTCGGAGGATGAGGGTGCTTTAGCAACAACACAACTGCTATGAAATTACACCGTGATAAAGGCATGTGTCTGCTCGTTCTTGCATTTTTCAGCACTTTCTTACTCAACACGTAAAAATCAAATATCAGACATTTTGATGGTGAATTCATGTGTTAACCAAACAATCATGTTATCAAATGGTTTTCTGATAAAAAAGAAAATAACAACCAGCTCTTCCTCGTGCAGACTTGTTCAACGATGAAGCTGGTAGCATTCCCCTTCTCACACCACCGTAATTCTGAGTTTTCAAGTATTCCACATATTTTGTATTGCTACCACAACAAAAGAAATCAGATTTAGACCATCCTTAGAGCCCACGAAGTGGCGGTCAGGCCCAGCCTGCCCGTCCCAATGTGGGAGAATATTACCGCGCGTTAGTCATGTCTCGCTGCACCCTAAATAAAATTCCACCGTACATCTGTCCATCCACCAAACGCTTTTTTTAACCTTCGAGGACGCAGTACAGCTGCCTTTATTGATAACCACGTGACAGCCATGGCAATTTCTTAACGGGCATGTATTGAAGCACGTACTCGACGAAAGATTGCCCCTCCTAGGGCAAACTCTCGACATATGTAGAGTATTAGGTAAGATTTATTCACTGAGTAAGAACTTTGTCATAAATGCGCTGCTGTATTTAGTGGGGTGGAGTACAAGTAACCCAGCCTTGGTGACTGCCTCGAGCTCTTAGACATGGGCGGCTTCCTGGTTGTGCCACACGGGCAGCAGTTCATCGGCGAGGCTAAGCAGAGTCCCCTCCCATTGCGTCGCGCGGTTCGAGAGTGCCGTTGTATGAAATGTAAAAGCGTTGGTAAATTACCATTGTAAATTACCAAGAGCGGTAATTGATTGCGTATTTTATTATTTATGCACATACCATGCAAAAGCCTGAAAAGAACTTAGTTTTCTTATTGCATAAATAAAGCGATGAAAATATCGATTATATTCAACACGGAGAAACCCATTTCATTGCCCGTCATCCTGAAAAGGTCACGGTGATATGAGACATATATTGGCACTAAACAGAACCGGAATTCTCTTAAACATTTACTAAACTCTCATTCATTTTAAAATGATCGTTCTTTTCCGGGGCATATACCACCTCCAGTAGAGATCATGCGAATCAAAGTTGGTAGTCATTGTCATCCGAAATCACTCACTGCCCGCCACTAGAGAAATTGCGGTGGCCTGAATTTGCACCATTTTTGGTAGGAAAACTTTAGCACGTTTTTTAGACCAATTATCGCTTAAAATGTGAATGAACATTCTCTAAAACAAGTATAATTGAAAAAGTGCTTTCGAAAAAGGCGAAATGTGCAAGATATTGTAGCAGTTGCTGCCAAGCAACTGCTACAAATTCGATAAGATAAGTTTTTTTTTTTGCGTGTGTGTGTACTTTTTGTTGGTTGCATGATCCTGCAGTAGTTGTCTTTCAAATCTTCAGCGCGGTGCAAAAGTGCCGCCTCAAATGCGTCATGTGCTGTTCTGCGCGTATGTATTGCATCGCATGTGTGTTCCATTTATGTATGTTATGTATAACTTCGAGTTGCTGGTCACAATAATACCGAGAAATTATCTCGAGACCTGTACGGTACTTCTTTTTTGCAAATAATTGTTTGTACTTCCACCCTGTAACGGCCCACTTCTGGGCTAACAGTATAAATAAATGAATGAATGAAATGAATGAATGAAGATGATGAATTCGTTTTTAAAACATGATTTGCTTCTTTTTTCTGCATTGGCAGCTACGTATCTGGGTAATGAATTTCTGTGATCTTAAACACCTTGACATAACGCTTGTATTTTCCGTGGTAATTACACGGATTTAAATAAACAAAGATTGTTTAAAATCAAGACTTCTTCAGCGTGACTATGCCAATAAAGCACTATTTTACTATAGTACATATGTGCGCATCATTTTCTCTAGTGCAAGGTCTGCGTCCTAATGGGCCTTTTTTGAGTACGTAGTCTGCACGTGTGCACGTTTTTGGCGATCAAAACGCAATGACGGAAGAGAACTGATGATTATTTGGTCTCAAAAGCGTGCAAAAGTTTTCCTACCAAAAATAATATTGGTGTAAATGCAGGCCTCTGCAATATCTCTACTGGCGGGCGACGAGCGATTTTGAATGACAATGACTGCCAATTTTGACTTGCATGGTCTCTACTGGAGGTGGTATTTGCCACGAAAAGAACGATCATTATATATTTCATGAAAGTTTGGTAAATGTTTCTTTGTGAATCACTTGGATGATTCGTCCTCATATCGTGTAAACGTACCATTGGGAAAAAAACTTGAGTATGTGTCGTTGAGTCGGAAAAATTGGGATTTAACTCTACAGGCAGCTTTAAGCTTCTCTAACATTGGTATGGTTAAGAACAATTAAACTTGCGTAAATATTTCGTTAATTGGGAATTTTCGTTATAATATTTATTTGGGTTGAGGTTTTATGTGAAGCACACATTTGACGCTTAAACACTTGTTGTGGGTTCCTGCAGCAAAGACGCACTGAAAAAAAACTGTCATTGTCAAGGAATTGCCGAGGTAATGTCTATTCTGGTTTTTTTTTTTCGCTAACTGGAACGTCCTCCACTTTTTGGAGGTTATGTCGGGCGGTGACACGTTCGTTTTATTGTTTGAGAACGAGTAACGTATTTTTTACTTTTTTTCGGTAAATTGTAGAACAGTGGTTGAGCATGACCTAGCGCGAAATAAACGACCGGTACCTCGAGAGAGGCAATTCGTCGCCAATAATCAAATCATTCCTGGATGAATAAAATAACATAAACCACTGAATTTTTGCAACGATTTCTACTATATGAGTGGTTAAACCCAAACTAGCTCGAAATACATGAATGTCTTTCACGTTGTAATACTCAATCGACCACGAACCATTAGCTTGCCAATATACTATAACTGGACAATAAATTCTACAAAATGCTTCGAAGACCTCACCCTTGAACAATATGCATTTTCAATGTCTTCTAACAGGCAAGAATTTGTCAATGAATAGGTAATCGGTCAATGAACAATATATTCTGAACAGTTCTTGGGTGAGCTTAGTCTATTGATATGCATGGCCTATACCTTGTAATAGTTAATCGATACTTCAGCAATAAATCAGTTGCTAAACAAAAGCAAAGCACAACGTTTGGACGTGCTTAGCTCAGCCTCACCTTGACATGTACGGCTTCGTCTAGATTTGGAACAGAATACTCATGCGAGTGCAGAGCACGTTCAAATAAAATAAGTTATCTAGCAATGCCTGCCAAAAACACGACGATAAAAATCATCTCGCGACACTTAAGAAAACAAGCATCACCTCGGAACAATGAACAAAACAAAGCATCACGTCGCCGAGATAGGCAGGACCAAGCAACACTCGTAAAGACCTGAGCAAGCTTGGTGCCAATCAATTATGCTGTTTCTGTAGCGTTGCGCCGCTTGTGAAAACTACGCTAATTTGTTCAAGGTACATAGCCTTCGTAAATGTGAGATGAGTGCGCTATAGCACAAAAAATCAAGGCTTTACAGTCTGTCTCATGCCATGTTAAGTCTTCTTATTCGCTGAAACATGTTTTATTACTTGTAAAAAAATAGCAGCATTGATTATTTAAATCACTCTATTCACCATTATGTTACATTCTCACCAAGTTTTACGCGCTTTGGAAATTCTTCTTACGGGTTTCTGGGGGCCCTCTGTACAAATGGATTGTTAGTAAAGCGCTGAGTCTCTCCAATAATCTGTTACTTTGATAAAGGCAGAAGCTCGTATTTTAAACTGAGTTGATCAGCCTCAATGTACCCTTCACGTTCCAGATCATCCAGGCGTAAGAAATGGTTCCAATAAAATTCTGCATTGCTTGATTTTGTCGGCCTACCACAATGTTTGAGATCAAAAGGAGTGACATTTAAAACCTGAAGGTGTTTGTCTGAAGATGGATGCATATATGTGAGCTTCACTTTCTGTAAGAACGGCCACTGTAAGAATTCATCCACCACACCTTTATGCAGCTGTAATCCTGCGTGCACTGAAACAGTATTCTCACGTTTCTTCATATACAATAAAAACGTAATGTGATAGCCACAAATGTATATGGGCTCGCATGTGTCTCTCGCTAAACCTGTGGATGTCGCTTTTTCTTTCAAAGCCTTGATTTCTTTTACACAAAATGCATGCAGTGTAATGCTCAATGTGTTCTTCGCTAGGAGCAGAGTCTCACTCTCATACAATGCCTTCTTGCCACATTCCATCTCTTTCACCTTTGGTGTAGCAAAAAGCTCAGCATTTGTTTTGCACTTCTGTACTATGGCTTTTGTTACACGCTCCAGTGCTTCATTGAGAATACCCTCGAATGAGCTCACAATGTCTGAGACTCTCTGAAGCTGGTTGTCGTCTTGCGTACAACGTCGCCTCGATTCGGCATGGCTCTGCTCCAGCTTCTCCAGAGATTGTTGCGTGGCGTTGGCTGTATTTCTGACATCTGCACCTAAAACACCTAAGCTTCGTGAAAATTCGTCAAACTTTTCACCTTGTGCAACCATGCCTTTCTTCCATTCTTTAAAGGCAGTGTTTTTCACCACAGTTATTTCCTGCTCTTGCTTTTCTGACATCTGCACCACTATCTCCCTCAGCGCATTTGAAATGTGCCAGACCTCATCCAATTTCTCGCTGTGGGTCGCGTGTCCTTGTAAAATCTGTTCAATGCCAGCTTTCAGTTCACCGATGCATTCACTCAACGTCGTCTCTAAAGCGGTGATCATCGGTTCCTGAACTGAATTTTTCCACGGCTCCAGAGGTTGGGCGTGATTGGGTAATGCATGCGTGCTGTAGTTACTTTTTCGATGCGCACACAGATTTGTCCTCAGAAGAAGCGCTGAGCAGCTCGGACAACGCGTAGTGTGATGCACGCATTCTTCATCAAAATGCTTCAGCATGTCTGAAATAGTCATGACGGCGTCGCAACCGTTGTCCTCGTTCCAACATTTCACCTGCAGCAGAAGGTATGTCATTTAGATAAAACAATATTATTCGAACAAAACCCAAAATTTGCAGCAGACATACATGTTGGGTATTCCTTTGATACAAACATGCAGATTAAATTTGGAATGTTTATCCTCCCAAGATCAATATTCTTTATGAACATTGGAATCCCTGCTACCTGGGTAAAAGTTCGTTATAAAATTGCAAATTTCGCAAATGTAGCACGTAACAAACGGCAATCATATTTAAAGTATTCACTGAAGGGACTACTATTAGCTTAAAAACAGCTGAGAGTAAAGATAAATTTATTAAAATTAGATAACAGTGCAAGTTTTCTAAGTTCCAACACATACTCTTACTGTTTATTATTCCACTATTCCGCGTCCCACCAGCGAAGGCTGGCAGCCCCTCATGAACCACGTGTGCATAAGTTGCCCATGTAATGGTCATAATCTTTTACTGCTTTCACTCAAAGATACCTTGCTTTCTTCCTTCAAGAGACAAATTGTCTTTCTCTCTCTTTGATGCAGCCCAGGAGCGTAAAGTACCCGGAATGCTCACGCAGTTACCACAAAGCATCGCAGGTTTCTAGTTGCTTGAAATGTGGTCATTGTAGCACACCTAACACAAGTGAATTGTGCTTTGCAAGGAAGCTGTGATTGTATTGTCACGGGGTCGTGACGTGGCCGAAGACAGGAAACTTCGTGTTGGGATTTAACTGTTTATTTGGGCGAACCTGTGCCCGGTAAAGGGAAAGTCTAATTACAGCAGCAGTCTTGCACAGATAGCAGTCTCGGACTGATAGCGGCGAACGCAGCGTCGGCCCTCGATCAACAACTGACAAGCGGCGAAGCGCGTCGGCATTTATACTCTTGCCTTCGAATGTTCTAGCGTTATCGCTGGCGGTGGCATAGGTTCCAGAAAAATCTGTACTGTTCACACAATGGGCGTGATCTTATCAAAATGATATACTACAGTTCGGAACCTTCTCGAAAACTGCAGGCGTGGTTTGCGCTGAGAATCGTGTGGTGTTTTGGGACGATAACAAAAACTTGGGAAATGGAACGTGGCATTTCCCCCCTCTGAAAAAAGGCATCGTCCCGATGCTTTAACTAAAGATGAAGGTACAATGATAATGCAAGAAAGTACAATGAATAAATTACGATACAACAATAATACAAAAAAAAACACTGTTTCAGTTTGTTAACGCGCATGAAACGGTTTGAGGTGCGCGACATGGACGACTTCAGGTCGCGATTGGCGCCGTTAAGAGTTCGTGATGCCGCAAAGGACAACCTCGTAATCGAGTGGGCCGAGACGTCGAATTACCTTGTACAGTCCAAAGTACCGTCACAGAAGCTTTTCACTGAGTCCACGTCGGTGTATCGGCGTCCACAGCTAACACGTTCACCGGGCTGGTATTCCACGAAGCGTCGTCGATGATTGTAACGGCGGCTATCGGTCATCTGTTGGTTATTCATACGGAGGCGCTCGAGTTGAGGGAGAGGCTTGGTTCCTCTGAGCAGGTTCCGCAAAATCGGCGAGGGCGAAAGCACTGATGGCTTCCACAATTTTTTCGATGTATGCGACCATCGTTCCTTTGTTCACGTGTTTGTACTCATCGCTGAAATTCGTGAGCATAACCGTTGCTTTGCCTCCCCGCAGCTCTGCAGTTCCTCTTGCGACGCAAATATTTCGGGTGCCCAACAGATGCTGTTTTCAACGACGCCTTCCAAGTCAGGTGATTTAGGAGCGCCGACTGAAATAATGACGCCGGAGTGAGGCGGAATGGTGACTTGTTCTTCCAGCACATTCAAGGCGTGGTTTCCTGATGGCATGCGCGGTGGTAGTGCTTCTTCTGTGGATAACGTTATCGACTTTGTTCTTAGATTGATGACTGCACAATGGAGGCATAAGAAGTCCATGCCAAGAATGACATCTCTCGAGCAACGTTGTAGGACTACGAAGTCTGCAGGATAAATACGGCCGTTAATGGTGACTCTCGCTGTGAAGATTCCTGCCGGCGGTACGAGATGACCCCCGGCTGTGCGGATTTCAGGGCCTTCCCAAACTGTCTTAACTTTCTTTAACTTTGCGGCGAACGACCCACTGATGACAGAATAGTCGGCTCCAGTATCGACGAGAGCGGTCACACTGTGGCCGTCGATAAGAACGTCGAGGTCGCTAGTTCGCCGTCTCGCATTACAGTTAGGGCGTGGCGTCGGGTCACGGCTGCGTCGGCTTGTTCCGCTGCTTCCATGTTGCGTCGTCCGGCCACCTTCGGTAAGTGAGCTTTTGCCTTCAGGGCTTTGCCTGGTTGGTGTTGTGTTCAAAAAGCTCCGTCGCGGCGGCGTCGTCGTCGGAGGATCTTCGGTAGTTCGTCGCACAGCAACCGCACCTCCATCGGTTGCTGCCCTTAGTTTCCCGGATACGGGCCAGGAGACCGGCCCCGCGTTGGGCCAGAGTACTGCCGGAGGTGCGGTGACATGCGGCGGCTGGGCGACGGCGAACGGGAAGGACTTCGTGGTGTCCATTGAGTTCCTGCCAGGTAGTCGGCGATGTCACGTGGCCGATCTCCTGGCTGCGGACGCGGTGCATTGACGGCGAAGCCACGTAGTCCCATCTGTCGGTACTGACAACGGCGTTATGTGTGCCCGGCCTCGCCGCAGTGGTAGCAGAGCGGGCGGTTGTCAGGTGCACGCCAAACGTCCGTTTTCCTCGGTGCACTGCGCTGGCCCGCTGGGGAACGGTAGGACGTCGGTGGGGGTGGTGGCGGCGGCGGCGTCTGGCGACGGAAGTGCGACGGGGCGGCGTTTTGGCGTGGACGGGGAGGAGCGTTGTGGCGCACTGCAGCGGCGTAGCTCATAGTTTCTGGCTCGGGCGGCGGTGTTTCGGGAATTCGAAGCGATTGCTGGACTTCTTCTCGCACAATGTCGGCGATTGAATCCAATTGAGGCTGCGCCGAAGGCAACAGTTTGCGCAGCTCTTCCCGCACGATCGCTCGGATCGTTTCACGCAGGTCGTCGTAGTCACTGGCTTGAGCAGCAGCGCATTCTGGAGTCAGGCGACCATTATACTGTCTGGTGCGCATGTCTAGCGTTTTTTCAATGGTGGTCGCCTCGGATACAAATTCTTGGACGGTGTTCGGTGGATTTCTCATTAGTCCCGCGAAGAGCTCCTGTTTGACCCCTCGCATGAGGAAACGAACTTTCTTTTCCTCAGGCATGTCTGGGTCAGCGTGACGGAATAGGCGGGTCATCTCCTCTGTGAAAATTCCAACCTTTTCATTTGGTAGCTGAACCCGGGTCTCGAGTAGAGCAGCGGCCCTCTCTTTGCGAGCGACGCTCGCGAACGTTTGCAGAAATGCGCCGCAGAAGACATCCCACGTTCGGAGCGTGGACTCCCGATTCTCTAGCCAGGTCCTTGCGGTGTCTTCCAGGTAGAAGTACACACGACGGAGCTTTTCTTCGTTGTCCCAGTGGTTGAGGGCGGCCACACGGTCGTATGTTTCTAGCCAGGTTTCCGGGTCTTCAAACGATGAGCCATGGAACGTTGGTGGTTCCCTGGGTTGATGAATGACGATCGCGGGCTGGGACGCTCCGGTTGTCATTGTCGCTGCAGTCGAGGTCATGGTCTTGGTCTTCCGCGCCTTGTCTTGTAGAAGGCCGTACTCCGGTGGGAGACCTTGCTGTCGGCGGCTTGTTCGCTGCTCTTGGTTGGCGTTGGTGTTTTCTCCGCGACGGGGGCTGGGTTCACGGCTTGACGGGGGCGTCCGGTACATGAACGAAGCAGCACCTCCACCAGATGTCACGGGGTCGTGACGTGGCCGAAGACAGGAAACTTCGTGTTAGGATTTAACTGTTTATTTGGGCGAACCTGTGCCCGGTAAAGGGAAAGTCTAATTACAGCAGCAGTCTTGCACAGATAGCAGTCTCGGACTGATAGCGGCGAACGCAGCGTCGGCCTTCGATCAACAACTGACAAGCGGCGAAGCGCGTCGGCATTTATACTCTTGCCTTCGAATGTTCTAGCGTTATCGCTGGCGGTGGCATAGGTTCCAGAAAAATCTGTACCGTTCACACAATGGGCGTGATCTTATCGAAATGATCTACTACAGTCCGGAACCTTCTCGAAAACTGCAGGCGCGGTTTGCGCTGAGAATCGTGTGGTGTTTTGGGACGATAACAAAAACTTGGGAAATGGAACGTGGCAGTATCTTCTATACTTTAGGCAACTTCGTGGATTCAGTAGATATGGATGAACTCTTGGTTTTGTAGGCCCTGTGTCTGTGGCCTGTGGCAGTTCACTCGACCAAATTGTGAGTACTATGTGCTTGACTGGCTTCTGTGTGTTGTTTCCTCAATTTTTTATCGTTCTAAGTTTGCCACGAATTGCTGTTTTCAGCGTTCGAGAAGTCTGGGTTCGGTAAGGTACAAGGGATGGTATAAACGACCCCATATGGAGTATTAATCGATCTATATGCCGTGGTGTTGAAGGAGATGTTTATGAATATTGTAAGGTTAAAGAAATTGTAGTTCTTTTGTATATCAGATCGAGATCAGGTCGTAAGCTGAAATTCGAGACATCTCGTGACCTAGCTATAGCGTTTCAGTTAGGCGTTTTCTTACCAGAAAGAGCAAGATCTTTCTACCTCTTTCATCAGGCTCTTCGCTCTAAATCACTTTGTACTTAAAAAAATACTCACGCGTTTTGGAAAGGAGGCTGGTGTTTCAGTTGGGGCCCTTTTCGGAAATTTAATGTGGAAATTGTATTATCTACGTGTGGCTGTTTACAAAAGAGTGTGCTGCCTCTTACGAAGTGCCCGAATGTCCTATCAGCTGGTGTCGAGATACAGGACTCCGAGATACCAGCATGGTAGCCCCATTCCTACGAAATGCCCACGCACAGCACAACAAAGGCTGATGTCTGGCCCGTACTCGCATGATCATTGACTGCCGCGAATCGCAGCTCTAACGCGTTCGCAGATGCGGCGCAATACGGTGACTTCTCTGCTTTGCACTGGTGGTATGGGAGATTGCGACGGAAACCGATGCAAAGCTGCTTTGGTTAGGCTGGCAACGAGTGCCATAGCTTGGCAGGTGGTTTTACCTTTAGCTCTGACTAATTCCTAATACAACCACGTATTCACAGACTTCAACACCACAGATCGGACTTACCAAACAGGCAATATATCGCGTGAAGCAACCCATATTTTACAAAAGCGCAAGTACTTCAGTTCTCACTACATTTCTTCGCAACCTGCCACATGAGCAAAGTCCTCGGAACAGCCCAACCTCAACGTAAAGGCTCACGACCGAAAGCGAGAATGCAACGGCCACGACGATGAATCAGGTGCCATTAAGCTGACCCCACACCAACAGCTTAACGACGCATTACTCTTTTTACAAGAAATCACATCTCGCATCCGTAACGATAGAAGACAACACCCCTTGCTGCACATAAACCTTAAAAGCGCCCAAGGGGTAGCGTTCCACATGGTAAATGTGAGATCAGAACCATCACAAAGATGACTTAGTCATTACATCACGGTCATCATCAGTCTGAATATGGCTGCTGCAGGGCAAAATGCCTCTCCCTTGATCCGCCAATAAAAGTGGTCTTGTGCTTTCTGCGGTCACGGTATGCCTGCGAACTTTTTTTTAATTTCATCGGCCCAGCTAATTTTGCCTCCTTTTCATTGGTTTCTCTTCTCTGGTAATCCACTCAGTTGCGCTGAATGATAAGAAGTTCGCCTGCCTACGTGCTACGTGCCTGGCCCACGTCCAGTTTTCTTGTTGATTTGAACTGCGATATCTTTAACCACGGTTTGTTTCCTGACCCACTCTCCTGTGTTCTTGCCTTTTAAGGTTGTACTTCTCATTTTCCTCTCTATTGCTCGCTCCGTCATCCTCAAGTGAAGCCTAGCCCTCTTCATAAGCCTCCAGGTTGCTGCCCGGTAAGTAAGTATCGGCAAGATGCAGCTATTATATACTTTCTAGTTGAGGGCTAGTGGTAGATTACCATTCATGTTTTGAGAATGGTTGCCGACTGTGATCCACCCCATCTTTATTCTTCTAAATATTTCAACCTCCTGGTCTGGCTCCTTGGTTATTACCTGTCCTATGTAAGCATTGCTTAAACATATTATAACGCAGAGCACGACAATGCCAACACAAGAGAAGAAAGGGGGACAAACCGCAGGGCTTACTCGCAACTGAGTTTTCATTGAAAAACATGCACGAGAAAGCATCATTTTAACCTTATAAGTAGACCTTTACCTTTCAAACTTCCACCATCTCTCCACCTATCACGAAGCGTTGTTTTCTGCTGAGGCTGTTGCTCATTATTTAGTTTTGTGCATATTATTTCCGGAGCTATTTTTCTGCTTTCAGTGTAATCGTGAGCTGAGTAACTCATCAAGGCGGTGTCATCAGTGAACCGCAGGTTACTATGATACTTTCCAGTAACTCTTATCCCTAACTCTTCTCAATATAGGGTCCTGAAGACCTCTTGTAAACACGTGGTGAAAAAGATTGGAAAGACTGTGTCTGCCTGCCTTACACCCTTCTTTATTAAATTCTGTGCCTCTACTGTTCGTTCTCTACAAAATATTGAGAAAAATGTTAGCTTATGGAAATAAAAATCAACCAAAAGACCGAGCTGTATTTTGCACAGGTTACTTCACATTATATTATATTTAAGCTATCTATCAGGTGAAATATAAATGTGTGGAATACATTCAGCCCCTATACATAGCCCTAATAGATTACGAGAAGGCGTGTGACTTAGTCGAGACATCAGCAATGATGCAGGCACTACAGAATTAGGGCATTGACAAGCTTCCCAGAAACATACCGTAAAAATTTACAGCGGAACCACGGCCAGTAAAGTTCTTCATAAAGAAAGTGACAGCCATTACAACCAGGCCAAGACTCCATCATGCCACGTTTGCACAGAACTTAACTGTTCACTCTCCCACATGCTCTAACAATGTCCCGCGTTACATCAGGGTGCTCTAAGGAGTGTGTTCGTCTGGGAAAAAGCACTCAGGAACTCCCAGCTCCATCACCAACTAAAGGCACCCCAAGAACAGGTGCCACAACAGGTGCAACAAGGCCACAACGCTCCCCCCCCCCCCCTCAATTGGGTGTCACATACCGTAGCGGATGTTAGGGTGTCCCACGTGGCCTCCATGGCAGCCTAAACTCCACACAACTTCCCTATAAAGTTCTTGACTGATAGCACTTAAGTGGAAGCATTATACAAAATCTCACAAACTTTCAAAAGGCGATTAGCGAACATGTGAAGTCAATTGCAAACTTTGTAGAAGAAGCAAACGTATGATGCTAGAGTAAGCTAGACAGAAATATGCTAAAACAGCTAGGTAATGCGTAGGAAATCTACAGGCGTTTTTTTTTTTGTACGTGGCGCCAAGCGCCGACATGAGGCAATAGGAGATCATAGATGAGACCATATGAAGGCCCGAGAACTTGAAGCTTTTTTTCTTTCGCTCACAATGTCAAGATGTTTACCTTGCGCCTCAGCAGATTCTTCATGGGGAAAATTTTCCATTCGGCATCTTTTACGAGGAATTTATCCCCATCCAGTGGACATTCGCAGATTCCGTTGACCAAGCACTGCGGGTAGCACGTTTTGCAGAACACATGTCGACATGGCAGTAAGGTGGTCGTTTGTGGCAGCAACCCGCAGACAGCGCATATTCTGACGGCCGGAATGGGCTCAGCGAAGTGAAAAGGCCTGCAGTCCAGTTCGTGGGAAAATCCAGACACACTGTATCGCTGCATGTTGAGAGCCACGAAGGGAGCAGCGCGTTCGCCAACAGGAAATTGTTGTCAAAGCGGCGTCCTTATCCCAGCGACTTGCTTGTGCTGTGTGGTCACGCGATGGATACGAAAGCTGCTATCAGTCCGATAAGGGAACGCCCACATCGCAAATGTCGAAGCGCCTAACAGCGAAGCCAATTTACTGCTCGAGCGAACAGGGTGATTCGTCTACATCGGCCACAGAGTTGCCGCGTGTTGGCAATGCCACTGCACGATTGCCCTTCATGGCTCGCGAAATTTGGTGCACACACACGCTTACCACGTCATAATTCTTTCTTCTGTGAACGCTCTTTTTGAGCAGCTTGTGCCAAAAGAATGATGGGTTTTATTACAAAATACAGTACCCTAACCCCGAACCAACATGGCTTTAGAAAAGAACACAGTTCGGCTACTGCACTAAGCTTTGTGGTAAAAACTTGTAAACCATGTGTTAAACTAAAGCCAATTCGTTCTCGGCATCTTCCTCGACGTAAAACAATTTTTCTATTCTGTGGGTCAGAATACATTGCTAAATAAACTTGAACGCTATCGATATAGATTAAAATCTTCAAACTTCTTTCGTAGTTATTTGTCCAAACGGTCTCATTATGTTCAAATATTCAGTAGCAAATAAAACAAGAATTCCGTTGAAACTGGTGAGCTGCTATGTTCTGAACTAAGCCTGAATTTTGTTCTCTTTCTTCTTCTATGATAATACTTGATCCTTAACCCTTAGACAAGCAGATCTGCATGCAGGTGGCTCTTCTTTACTTATAGCTCACCACTCTCTTCAGGAAGCCGAAACACTAGCCATTAAACTGTAATAATTTTTCAGTACATAAAAAGTATTACTAAACATGAAAAAAAGAAGTACGTTATTTTCGCCTCTAACCAAAAGGCGATACTTGAAACACGTAGTCTGCTCGTCGGGGAAACTTCCAAAATAAAGTAAACGCCTATACTTACCTCGGCGCCCGCTGCAGTGGTCTAGTGGCTAAGGTACTCGGCTGCTGACTCGCAGATCGCGGGATCCAATCCCGGCTGCGGCAGCTGCATTTCCGATGGAGGCGGAAATGTTGTAGGCCCGTGTGCTCAGTTTTGGTGCCCGTTAAGGAACCCCAGGTGGTCAAACTTTCCGGTTGTCTTCACTATGGCGTCTCTCATATTCATATGGTGGTTTCGGGATGTTATACCCCACATATCAATCGATCATACTTACCTCGGCGTGACATTAAACCATTCATTCCACTGGACGTCTCACCTAGACTATTCGTCAAGTAAGTGAGGTTTAGATAATTTACATTCTCTTGGTGTGGAATTTATTTTAGCGCACACATACTCCTATATTACACTTGAACGTATTTCATTCTCACCTAACTTATTACATCTAATCATGGAGCTACGCATAAGCCTCATATTGTTCGTTACCCATTTGCACAAAAGAGCTGTGCGAACTATCGCATTAGCGCCCGAAAGTGCACCACTGGCTGAATTTTCACAAACGTTTACATAATGTCATCTAAAATGGTTAGGCAATTCAAAAGCGTTTTATTGTTACGCGAAATCATGAATAATAACGCACCTTTTCACTCTTCAATCTTACCAAAACCCATAGGTAAAACTTGGCTTTCAAAACAACATCTTATTCTGCCAATAGTGCAACTTGTCTACGGTTGTTGAACAATACCCTTTGTTTCTACTAGAATTTTAAACGGTATATTCACACCAAAATAAATGTCTGCCGAATATAGTGCAGTCACTCGGCAATCTGTTTGTTTCAGAAAGTTAGCAGTTGCCAAAATAATGTTGCTGTAACCTATGTACACGTCACTTTATTCCTCGTTCATTTTTTCACATGAGTGTATTTGAATAGAGGATTTGTGATGGAATGATTGGTTTAAAATTGTACTCGCTAACAAACCTTGTCTCCACAACAAAACTTAATCCACAATAAATCTACAACCTTAATCCACAACAAACCTTGTCTGTAACCACTTTTTAACTGGCCATATCGGCTACGGATCCAAATTTTTTTATACAGTTTTCGAAATATATTGAAAATAAAGCAGTCGTCTTATTCAACTCTTTTCTAAACAATAATGTTTCTGGGTAGCTTCTAAATGTTAAGGTAACTTTGGTACAATTTATTATCAACGTACCTGAATCAGGCTCACTACTTGTACACTACGTAGTTCATGTTCCCGCTAAAACGTGGACTGCATGATACTAGAATATCTCGTGCCCAAGTTATAACGTACGGCTCATTTATTACACGCTACGCAATTCTGTTTTATATTTCGCGTACACTAAAAAGACGCAAAAAGATTACGGGGCTGTAATCTTAAATAAGCTGAACAAACATGGGACTTTTTATTAAACATGTTTCGGCATTATTATTGTATTCTATTTGAATTGTTGAATAAATAGGACTGGCCAGCTTTGCACAGTACATATTATCATACATTAAATATTCCAAATTTTAAAACTACTGCAAAGACTTTTGTGTAGCGTTGCGCCATCCTGCTTTCCAACCTTTTCCTTCCTTTATGCCGGCAGAAGCATCCTCGTGTTTCACAGCGCAACGCTACCATTACTACGTACAAATCTACAGTCATACTTAATGCAGTGAAATGCAACTATGAAAGGCGACTGTGCAAATTTACAAGATGAAATGACAAGTGCCCTCGATGACATTTCAGATTGTCGTGATGGGCACGGCTGATCACCGACAAGCCCAGGATCGAGAGGTCATCAGGGAGTGGAAAACGGCGCAAACAAACGCACTTGTGGTCGATACATCAAGTTCTTTAGCACTCGCCGACGCCGGGATTTCTCGCGAGCCAAACCAATACCACCAAAATCAGTCACTCATTTAGTCACAGATTTCGTTGGCATGGGCATTGTTCGCGAGAAAATCTATAAAGAAAACACGAACAGCATCGGCTCACAGCTGTACTGCGCCGTTATGGCTAGCGCCAGTGTTTGTTTATTTTTTCAATAACTACGTGTAAGTTAGCTGAAAGGAGCCTCGACAAATATTTCGCACCTTGTTTTTCTTTTTCTTCCAATGAGTGGCCAACAACTCGCTTATCGCTGCTCGAAAGCTCGTTTACACTGGAGCGCAACGGTTAATCATTTGAACATTGTTGTTCTACACCACTCAGTGAGTATTTCAATTGCAGAGAGTGCCGATTAAGCTGAAAGTCAGAGTGGTTTCGTGAGCACACACACACACACACACACACACACACACACACACACACACACACACACGCGCGCGCGCGCACGCACACACACGCACACACACAACACACACACACACACACACAACAACAACAACGACAACAACAACAAACAAACAAACAAGCAAACTTGGGCACATGAGCTCCGCATTCTCGACTTTTTTTTCTATAAAGGCATCCTCGATATTGCTACAATCTACTTTGAGGTGTTGTAATTATATGTGACCCGCACAGAAATGCACTTTCCCGCCACGGTGGTCTAGTGGCTATGGTGCTCGGCTGCTGACCCGCAGGTCGCAAGATCGATTCCCAGCTGCGGCGGCTACATTTCCGATGGAGGCGGAAATGCTGTAGGGCCGTGTGCTCAGATTTGGGTGTACGTTAAAAAACCCTAGGAGGTCGCAATTTCCGGAGCCCTCTACTGCGGCGTCTCTCATAATCATGTTGTTTGTGACATTAAACCCCACATATCAATCAATTAATCAATCAGAAATGCACTTTAGAGGCAACCACATTAGTTTTTGTACTCAATGGCAAGTCCGCCTCCTTTTTTTTGTGAAAAGGTTTGCTCCGAAAGAACGCTCGCATGAATGGCGGCAGCCAACGCAAATTCGTGCCGCATTGTGCTGTCTCTCTCACGTTCCTGCCTGTTAGCGCTGAATGTGTTGTTGAGTTCATGACTCAGGACACAACTAACTGATCACACAGCAACCGACGGCGCATGTCGCTTGCAGGGGCGCAACACGCATTTTGAGATCCATATAGAATTTGTTCTCTGTTATATTACCCGTCGGTATGATGTAGATCATGCGTGTTTCTCCACAGATATCTGCCCCAAATGCTATCTCACCTTCAAACGTTTCTGCCAGTGCTCTCGTAAGCACGCTTTATAGTTAACAGAAGGCACCACTACGGCCAAACAGTTACCGGTTGGCTTCTGTGCATCAGTGACAGGGTGTTCAAGAGTCAACAATAAATCACGACTCAAAATCACGCAAGTGCTTTATTAGAACATAGTCATCGAAACATAAGAGGTCCCGCGAGCAATATGGCACGACTAAGGTGCTATATGTACCAATAATACAGTCGTATCAATAGTCCAGGACGTACAACGCCATGACCAGATTTTACCCGGAAGCATTATTACAAGTATTTATAACACGTTTGATTCTCTCTTAGTGTTAATGCGTCTCAGTTTACTGAAATAAGCTCCAACACTACGCAAAGCTTGTCATTCGTGACATATCCTTCACGTTCGAGATTATCCGGGCTGAAATAACCTTGCACGAAAAAATAAATTCCGGCGTTACTTCCATCAACGGGCCTTGTAAAGTTTTCGAGACCATCCAAGCAGACTTCCTCATTTCTGCACTCTTTGTTTTGCGTTGGGTGTTTAATGGTGAAGCGAACCTTTTGTTTGAATGGCCATTGAAGAACGTCATCGATCACTCCCTTGTGCAGCTGAATGTGAGAATGAAGGTAAACATGTTGTTCCTTCTTTTCTAAATATACACCTGGGGAAAGGTGATACCCAGATATGAATGTTCTTTTCTCCTGATAAAGGCAATACCCATTCGACAAAGCGCTCTCTTTCATGGCTTTGAATCCTGCGACACAGAATTCTAGTCGCCTGACAGGAATTGTCGCTAAGGCCAGTATGTTTTCTGTATTTATGACACTTGCATATATTTGCTTCCCGCAAATCTTTTCCCCAACAATCGTGGCAACAGTTTCAGCGCAGCCGTTACAGATTGTTTTTGTTGCATCCTTCAATTCTTTTTGAAGGGTTTCCTTTAGCGCACCACTTTCATCACTAATATATTGTGTTAGATCAGCTCTCAGTAACTTTGCTGTGTCTTCATTTTTCCGTTCCAGTCTGAGCGCCGTGCTTTCCACGTTTTTAAGCGTTTCATGTGAATTACTCATAGTTCCTGCAAGCTGCTGCAGCTTTTCAATGTGGTCATTTAGTGTTTCATGCATTGCTTCTACGGAGGATGCAACGCTGCCCAACGTGCTAGTCCTGCTTAATATTTCTAGCAGTAGTTTCTTTAACCATGCTCATGGAATGTGAAATTTCATTAAGGCGGTTACATTGAGCTTGTGTAAGGTGGTCTAAAGTCTGTTTTATCTCACCTACTCGTGTTTCTATATTTGCATTTGAAGCCGCCATCAATGCTTTTTCGGTAGTGGTGTTGCTTTTCCGATTTCCGGACGCGACAGACATCACTTGATCTACGCACTCATTCTGCATGTGCGCGCGCACATTATCACAGCGTACGACCATAGAACACCTCGGACATGAAGTGGAGTGGTGGTTGCACTCTTTGCAAAAGTGTTCGTTCAGTTCCGATGCAGCCAAGATAACGTTGCACCCATGGTCTTGGTTCCAGCACTGCACCTGATGAAGAGAATGAATGAAATTTCGGACAATAATAATTTACCAACTTTTAAAATGTCTACTCTTTGAATGTCAATAATGCATAAACTAAGATCTTGCCAGACCGTGTCTGTTAATTATAACACAGTGTACATAAGAAACCGAAAAGAATTCCACAGACTATCTTGCGTCATATAAAAGAGTTAGAGGCTCTAAAGTGAGGCAAGACTGACTCACTTGATCTTTCTAGCAGCTCTTTACAGTCAGTCTGCTCAATGTATTCGCTATACAATCTGAAAAATAACGACAATATTTCTATATACAAAAACAGTAATTAGGAAGAGTATTCAGGTAGCGCAAAGCATGTTATTTAGGTTTGGTTTGGTAGCGCTGAAGCATGAAATGCCCCATTGAGCCAGGCAGAGCAAGCGAAACTGCTCTGGGGAGTATTTGGAATGAATTGATGGATCTTCGCACTGCCAGCAAGGAATGAAGGCACCATTCAACAACAAACAAGTCGATTCACAATTATCGACTGATTCATAAAATAGGCATTGAAAAAGTATTTGTGTTAGTGCAATACTCTTTTCACACACCAAAAGTACGACGCTGGTCGCGAGAAGACGCTCGGTAAGCAAACCATACGCAAAGAGCAAATGAAAGTGCCGACGCGACTTCGCAGTTCCCGCACTACCCGCCTTGGCGTCAGAGATTTTTCCGGCGTCTATTGGGCCCCAGGTAGTTGGTAATAGATGAAAAATGAAGTACAGCCGCAATAGATGAATATTAGCACAAGTGGCTGGTGATCGGCACGGCAACATTTCGACATGAAGCGTTGCTGTTCTCGAATATACCGATAGCTTGAGTTCCAAGCGCAATTTATTTTTCGAAGCTGAGGTGACAGCAGAAAGCAATGACAGTTCTAGCAAGGCTAAGTAAAAAAAGAGAAAAAAACGAAAAAAAGAACCCCTGCCCGCAGCAACGCTGGCGCATGATTATGCCAATAAGCAGCGAATAACCAATCATTGCATATGCAAACATTTCGCCTGCATCTGCTGCTTCGCAAAAGGCAATGTGCTTTGCACTCTTACCATTAGCACGATCGTGAGTGACAGTGCCACGTGTGGCGATGTCGCTACTCCGACCACGAGTCTTCTAGTGGACACGCACACGAATAATACCAAGTTTAAGGAAACTTTGCTTCCAGAAAGTGGCCAAAATGGGAAAAGATTCGTGACTTCGCCACACGTGATCATGGCGGCGAATTGAAAACTGATACCTTTGATACAACATACTCAACTACGAACTAGCCAACGCTATTGAAATCAACTACTCTAAAGTTTTCAGAGTGCAATTTATCAGTCTAAACTTGTGTATCCTTGAAGTCTGATTCTTTTAAAATGAAAGTTTCGGGTGCCTCTAAGCTTTACCATCGCTGTGAATTCGAGTTCGCGGCAAATCATGGAGTAACAAATCGTCGCCACGTGATGACGCTGGAGATCGCGAAAATTTGTGGCTTCTTGCCGTTCTCACAAGATATCGTCAAATGTGGGCCTATTACAGATGCAGTGCTAAACAAAGTGTGATTCAGAAGTCTTGCAATGGCTGCGATGCTTGAGGCAATGCAGGATCATGTTGGATGCCAAAAGCTGTCAGAAGGGATCGCGGAGAATTCATCGATTGATTAAGAAAAAAAGAGGGGGCTTTAACTTTCGAGTCAGAGGCGAATTCATACGGGACTACGTGAGCCATTTCTGTGCCCTGAACTTCATTACGAATTGTTCAAAGCTAAAGAGACATAAAGGAAAAACAAAAACTACAAAAACAAAAAGCATATGTCCACATCAAAACAGACGTCACCGTCCAAAACAAACTCGTCGAAAATAATTATGTCTATGGTATCATGGCCACCTTTTAGAATGGAAGATGAAAAATTTCGGCAGATTCTATGTGCCTTGAGAATCAAGGTTATGCAAAGCTTGAAAAAGAAAGGTTACCGTTTTTTATTTTCTAATTGAAGCGACAAGTTATATTATATATATATATATATATATATATATATATATATATATATATATATATATATATATATATATATATATATATATCACCGGTTATATATCACCAAACATATATCACCAGTTGCGAAACTTTTGCACAACAATGCCAACAGAAACATGAGTAATACAAAAACCAGAAGCGGTTTCTGCTTATATATTTATCTTCCCTTGATGCTCCTATAGATTACTACCAACTGTATGCTTTCAATATTACTTTGCGCTCCCCCCGTACTCCTCCACTGTAATACCATGTGGCTTTTGTGGGTATGGGTATGTGGGTATATAGCACTGTGGATTCCAGGAGGGCCATTCTTGGAATGAACACATACATAAACTAGTAGCAGACCCAAGTAGATGCGCTGGATGCATGTACAGACTATTTGCTTTATTACCCCTTTGGCTAAAGAAAGTGTTGTAAGCTGTTCTACTCTAGACTAAGTTATTGTGTCTTCTTTGGGGAACAACGACAGCACAGTAATTAGGTACTACGACTAATCGAAGGATACTATGGTCACGCACAAAATTTTAGCACACGTCCGTTATTTTCTAAACATTTCTTATTTACAAGCACGCCAAATATATTACTACAAGTTACTTCTACACATAAAAATCACAAAATATAGCCCATGTATAATTTTTCTCGGTGTGTTGAGTACTGCCTCCGTGCACCTGGCATAAGAACACCGAGAACTAGTACCATCTATCGTCAGCAAAATGCTGACTGAAATAGCAAGTCTCCTCTATAAACTTGAAAATGTAGTCGAGCTAAATAAAAAATTTCCGAAAATACATTGAACGAAATTCTCCTTCTTGATTGCATTGAATATGTTTAATGTATTATTTCGATTAGTTATTACTTTATGTGTTCTAATTGTTAACTGTATAGTTTCAATGCTGTTGCTTGCTTCGGGAATGTATATTGCTGAAAATGTTTCTTTATCTCACCTATTCAACTTATTGTGATAATGATGTTTTTGTGTAATGATATTTTATTGTGCATATTTTTGTGGTATTTTTTCACATTTGTAGCGTTTATTTGTCTGATTATACTTTGCTGATTGTTAGTCTGTGTAAAAAGTTGTTTTGTCTGCGTCTAAGTTCTGTACCAGACTATTTCGGAGCAACAGCCTCTGTGAGGCTTACCAGCCTTTTGCTTTTGCTTTGTTTTTTCTTATAGACAGGAAAAAAGAAAATAAAGTTACCTCAAACATAAAATAAATAAATAAATAAATAAATAGATAAGTTGATATGAAACGCTGATGGCTGAGTTAGCTATAGCGACCCCTTAGGCCATGAGAAAGAGTGTGAAACACATTTACCACGAATGTGTTTGATGCCGGTGTCCAACACGACTCATGACCTATCGCCGTCACAGAAATACGTCAACGAAATAAACTCAACCAGACGGAGCAGAAAAAAAAGGTGCGAAGAAAATTCTTTCGCTGCTGTTGGTCGAACCTACGACCTCTCAGTCTACGACAACGGCTGGCGTGCGTTTGAACCACACCGCCAGCACTAAGGCCATGAAGGAGGCAACACGACCAGGCACCCTCTTTCTTACAGTGCCCTTGTTGGCAGCGTGCTGTTTACGTCCGGAAACAGAAGTATAGGTACGCGTGATTTCCGCAATGGGCTCAGGCAACGCACCTTGGCAACTACCGTCCAATTAGGCACATTTTGAAAACTAATTTCTCGAACGTTTTCACACACCGTGTGGAGGCGCCTGGAAGCCAAACTTCCCCGCCCATTATAATTACCAACTTCAAATATACTTATCGGACACTCGCCTGGCAGACACGCCGCGTTCCGCGGTAACCTTGTTAGAAATGCCAGCCGGTCTAGAGGGAACAAAATGCACATTGCGTTTCTGTTTGCCTTTTAGGAGAATTTGAAGGAGTGCATTCCGAGTACGAGTGTTGATTACCTGCGTAGTGCGGCCATCTTTGCAAGGGATTCACTATACGTAGGGTCCAGGCATGTATTGACCACTTCTTTCAATACAAACTATGATCTTAAATGTATTCGTCGGAATGATCATTCGCCGCTTGATGTGAACGTAGGTGAATGACATCAAACGGTGCGCCCAACCCCTCGGCCCGATCTCAACCAACTACTTCTGTGAGACACGTTTTATTTTCATATTGTAACCATTAAAACTATGAAGGGGTGATCAGCCACGTTTCTTCTTTTTTTGCTAGCTGGCGTGACGCCACACATGATGGCAGCTGGAAATATTTTTGTTTTCTTCACAAATAATGAAACAAACTCGGCAATTCAGTTAAAATAACACAAATGAGGTCATCTATGTATCGCTTGTCGTTAAGTAATATTATTATGTATTCAACATTTCCTTCAAAATCACCTTATGATTATTAGAGACGCCGTACTCGAATGATCTGGGATTGCAGACCACCTGGTCTCCTTTAACACGCACGTATGTCTGATTGAACCGGCTTCTATACTTTTCGTTTGGTTTTCATTTGGGTTGTATGTTCTCTTTGAAACACAAGACTAAGATAGAATATAAGCACGCTTACGTAAATATGAAACTGTAATAGCGACAAGAGGCATTGCACACTTCAAAGCTGTAGGACTCTTACTACTTGGATATTCTTGACAGCTGCGATGCATGCAGCCTCGACGAAGAAAAACCAGAGAGCGAGTTAATTGTATCAAACGCCACAACGATATAGCAAAATCATCTAAATACGCACTATTCAGCCTTTCCCGTTTACAACACACCTCGGCGACGACACTTCACAGCACTTTTCCCTATTTAACAACTTAGCAAAGAGAAGCCATTCCGTGTTCAGATATCACGAGAATACGCTGAAGAGTCCAGTAGAATTGCTTTTGGCTTATCTTTGACACCACAATGTTCCCGACACACCCACCATAACCCATCTTGTTTGCCGAACCACCGGCACAGACCGGTCGAAAATTCTTAGGCAGAGGCTGCCTTATATTTACAGTTATTTGACGTGACAACAACAATGTGGCACAAAAAGCATTCCATAAAAGCGTGCCCACCTTCAAAAAAGTATTTGACTTAGCCACTGCGCAGTACTATTCGGGGTATTGGCCCGGAGAAAAGAGTTCTAGCTTTCAATATAAGTAGAAGACGTTAAATGTAGGGGCTGGACGTCAAACACAAAGCCAAATCACAATCTTCAGCCAAATGCTCTTTCTTGTACTGATAGGTCGCCTGCTGCTTCACATGATCACGGTTTCGCAAGGCAAACATCACCACAAAAACCCTCGCGGAAAAATTTATGCCATATTACCTTCCGTTTCAGCAGGTTGTGCACCGGACACTCCCTCCAATCGACGTCTTCTGCCAGGATTTGTTCACCATCGATAGGGCAGCTATGCCGGTCGTCAGTGCTGCACTGTTCGTAGCAATTCTTGCAGAAGATGTGTCGGCAAGGTAGAATTGCGGTCAGTCGGGTTACCAGCCCACACGCTTCGCAAATTCTGTTCCGTGGAATCGGTTCCACAAAACTCAATTCTCTCCGAGTCCAACTCGTTAGAAATACCGACCAAAGTGTACCGATGGCTGGTAATTGGCATGGCGAATAGTATACCGGCCCGCTATTGCCACCGCTTCAGCTCGCCTTACTGGGAACTAGGAACGTCGTCAGAACGCCTCCCCGCGTTTCCATGACGACTATCGCACTGATAGTGCCTCGACACGTCTTTCGGCCACGAAGGAGCGCACGCTTCTCTGGTGAATAGAAAGGGTATGTAAGCACTTACTTGACATAACAGTGGTCGAAAAGGAAGGGTGGTCAAACGATCGCAAAAAGCAAAACACCGAGCGTCTCGAGTTCTCTTGCATGAGTCGGTAGGTGGCTGAACGAGTTGCTGGGCCCAAAAATGCGCGTTGCAAGCCTACGGTGCCCTGTAAATGACAGTGATTGTCGATTTTATTTTTTAAAGACGATAATATTTCTTGGAGACCTTCGACGCAAAAGTTTTGCTCTGTCTGTCTGTCTGTCCATTCGTCTGTTTGTCCATCTTTAACAGTACTGGGAATTTAAACGGCACCAGCGGATACCCCAAAAGGCCGACCTCATCCACAGCGCCCACCAATATTGCTGAAACTTCAGCGTCATACTAGTGCGATTGTCAATCAAAAAGCAATTATTGCGCATATCTCAGGCACTACAAACACACGTAAATATTCTGTAAGTGCGTCTTTTTTTTAAGTTCTTCGTGTTTTCACTTGCTTGTAGAGGCTGCCAGCTGTAGCAGGAAAAATTTGCTTCGAAATGGTACTGCAATAAATTACAATGTATTCAAGCGGCTTTCAGCCACGACAAAGCACACGCTTCTCTCGTCTAATGAAAATGCCCGTACGCATGCAAACAGTTCAATAAAAAATAAACGCTGCCGTGTGTCACAAGAAACTATCACGTAAATAATACCCTAGATATTTTTGAAGTCGCGAAAATCAATACTACATGCTGTGAAACGGACTCGCTTCATCGGCGTCGTTATATATTTCGTGATATTTGTGATTTAGGCATTGATGTTTGTACCCTCATCGATTACCAGCCACATGGTCACAGTAAATAAACGCTTGAGGCTCGTTTGCGTAGTTTCGCGTGTATGCAAGTTGAAAATAAACACCAGGAGGGCACAATTTGCGAAGCCCTTCACAGTGGTGCTTTTCTCACAACCATACCATTGTTTTAGAACCTAATCGCAACAATCACTAATGCTATATTGGGCATTTCAAAACGTAAAAAAAAGCATTTAAAAGCAATAAATTTGATCGGAAAATAGATTTGATCGGAAACAAACTTCAAATAGAACACCTAGGGCGTAGTGAATGGGTCCTTTCATAGCAATTGCTAGCTCAACAATGCTCTTTACATGAATTGTCGCTTGAGGAAGACTGCGATCTCCAGTGGACTTAATGCAGCCATCGCTGTGTGAGCTAATGGTACTTATCACATTTAACTAGCTTTCTCCTAACCATAGGTTTGCAACTTTTCAATGCTGAGCATTTATTTGCGATCTGCAGTCACTTTGGCCGCTGCTATCCATCTATATATTTGCATATAGTCTTGGTAGGCAGCGGCCATGTACTACACCAGGAAGGTCAATCCTGCTCTGACGAGGAAGTGAAATACTTGCAGGTGGTCGCCAGTGAGGCCGCACCCAAGGCCTTTTCATTTTTCCTTAGGCGATTTTCTTATCACGCGTTTTAAATAAATATACGACTGAGGTATGGTCCAGAATCTGCATTGGAACCGATTTTTGTTATTCCATGCTATGCTGCTGCGACATCTCTGATTAAGTTTTTTGTTGCAGTTTCTTAGTACATAGAGTATTTTTTTTCTGCTCCAAAGACAATTAAGCCTGCTCCAAAGCACCATTTTTTGCGCTCAAGAATGTGCTCGAAAAAGCAAAACGTCTTTTCCATTAGCACTGCAGAACACCACCTGACCACCCATAAACTCTCAACTTCATCTGATTTGCAGCTCGCATGGGCTTGTCTTCTTAACTGTATGAAAGAAAAAAAAACACCTCGCCTATTTTCGAAGTTCTGACCTTGTGATTTTGAGGCTTACAAAGAGGGTTCGGCTTAAATTGAGCACGACGCACCGAGCGCTGCAAAGAAAAATTCTAAGTGTAACATTAAGAGGCAAGAAGACGGCATAGTGAGTCAGGGGATAAATCGGGATCAAGGATATCACAGTTTAAATTAAGAAGAAATCTACATGGACCGGGGACGTAGCACGTAGGCAGGATAAGCACTGGTCCTTGAGGGTAACTAATGGATTCCAAGAGGAGGCAAACACACGAAGGGGAGACAGACAGTTAGGTTGGGCGATGGTCAACGGGAAGCACAAGGCCGGATATTGGCCGATCATGGGAGAGGCCTTTGCCCTGCAGTGGGTGTAGGCAGGCTGATTATAATGGTGAGGATCTATCTATCTATCTATCTATCTATCTATCTATCTATCTATCTATCTATCTATCTATCTATCTATCTATCTATCTATCTATCTATCTATCTATTAGGCCGCCAATGACTTTCAGATCTTTCGATGATGGGATCTACACCAAAATTGGTATGGCATAACGTTACTCTAAGACAAGCATCAGTGACTAGTCATAACAAGCAAAGTATGACTTGTTTATCATGAATGCCATGAGTTACATGTCATGGTTTGGCTGCTCTCGCAGTGGTTTCGTTCACATGACAGATTACAAGACTGGTATGGCATATGACAAACTGCGTTGCGAACAATGTGACAGGTCCTAACGTGGAAATCATGATATGCATGTCATGTAAATCATGACTACACGCCATACGCTCATGGTGCGCCCGCAGTCGTCTCACTAGCTTCACTTATGCTATATGTGGTATTCGGTGACGTGAATGGCTGGCGAAGAGACTGGTGCGAACGTGATAATCAAGACATGCGTACCATGTAAGAACATGACTACACACCACGCTCATGATGCGCTCTCGGCTGTTTCGCTAGCTTCATATATATACCAAATTTGGTATCACGGGACGTGATTGGACAACGAAGATTACACATCCAAATATAATATTCATCATGTGCGCGTTATGTATTACCATATAGCAAATTTGGTATTGTGTGACGTGAATAAACAACGAACACAATTACCAGGCGCAAACACCATAATAAAGACATGGAAGCCATGTGCGACGTAATATGCATGCCTACCACTACTGGGGCTGCTATTGCAAACGTTAGTAGTGCCTTCGTTACGCGGCTATATACAACATACTTGCATTGTATCTAGATACCCGAGTGCGCATAACATTGCTGCTTTTGTTTATTGTAAATTAAATGCTTGCGCTTCGTAACTTTGTGCTAATTTTAAAGTGACATATTAACCTTCCTTATTCGTACTTCGCTCAGAATCAATTCGCAATGTACGTGGCGTCGGCGAATTATTAGCTGTTGGAGAGCCACAACACTTACTTTTAGCCAGTTGCAAGCGCCGCGTACGAATATTTGTGCCGCGGTGACTGCACACATTCTGATGAAACTCTTCAACGTAAAACGATAGCGGCGCAGGCACTGCAGCTGTATCTAGTAGAAACAGTAGTCGCCTAATCCGGCTATATTTGACGTATCATGGCGCTTGCTTTCCTGCTGTTTCTCGGTGATTCTATTCAAAGAGCTTTTAAAATATATTACGATTGTCAGCATAACTGCTTTTATAGTTGTCCTTCTCTTGCGTCCCACACTTTCATAGGATCTCTCAACTGTTTTTTTGTATTCTTGTGAATGCAATATGCCATACGTCAAGTAAGGTCGAAATAAGCTGTCTGTTTTATTCTTTCTTTTGATTGTCTGTTTTATTTTTGCTACTTCGTACACATTTACATTCTCTTGAGGTTTCTAACATTGTGATTTGGGAAAGAAATATGTCATTATGTGGGCGTGCGTTGAGCCTACAGCACAATCTGTTTTTTTCTTAATAAGGTAATATATTTGAGATGACGTCATGATATTACGAAAATTTGCAGTTCCCACTGACCTTCGGAATCAAAGTTATGCGAAGCGTGTAGATAAAAGGTGACTGTGTTTTAATTTTTTTATTGATCAGAACATAATGAAGTAGCGCTAAATATATATAGAAACGCACGTTCAGACATATCTTAAACTGCCGGATGTGTTTTATATAACCAGTTGTTTGCAGTTGCGTAACGATGCCAGCATTAAGATTAATATTAGAAACGGCACAAGCGGCAAGCAGATATGAAGCACCGGTGCTCGCGAAGATAGTAGACCTGCACAGTGCTTTATAAATCAAATTCAGTCAATGCCGATAAGCTACAGCTGTCGTTAACAAGACGTCACGGCTGCATCATAAAAGTGCACACCTAATCTTTTATAAAACTGAATAGTGAGCACTGCAACAACCTTGACATTTCACGTAGATTAGGGTCTATTTTAAATGTATTTCTGAGACCTGGCGTGGCTCTTGTTATAGTACTTATGACCAAGCAGAACGCTGGGGCTCGATTCCCGCTTAGACCCCAACATTATTCTCTTGCTTTTGTCGGGTCAGCGCTGTCAATGTGATCTTCTCTTAACGCTCGGGCATTAAAATCACCAATGTTTACCCTCGCCGTCTCTGGGTAGATATAAACAATGAATCACCTGCCACACATACGAGTACCAATGGCAAATATCCACTAGTGGGTATGTGGCACACGTCTGGCGGAAAAGGTGTGACGATGCGTGTGATGAGATTGAGACATTATTTGTGTAATTGCCAGGAGTCATAATCGTCAAATAATCTTACCCATCCATACTAATTTCAATAGAGAGAGAGAGAGAAAAAAAACGGAAGGCTGTGAGATTAACCAAATTT